ATCAAATAAGCGTAAACAACAAATGTCACAATCATCCAGTCAACGATCAACTTCACATCCACTCGTGAAAAGAATCAAAAGACATAAATCATCACAAATTAGTACAACACCCTTAAAATCGAATATGAAATTGCCAATCTACTTAAAAGTTCATCAAAATCTCCTCTTTCGAACATTACGTCTTCTATTGAAGCATAAATTACGAAGAAAATGTGAACGTCAATTTCTTCATCATCGACTTCAATTATTAAATCAGCAGTGTCATACGGAACTTCGTCAAAATTTATGGCAATCCTATCTTAACTTAGGATCTGAAAAAGAAGTGTGGCCAGTAAGTTGAAAAATAGCTCTCTGAAACACTTTTTATTTTTCTATTTTGTTTTTCAATTCATACAGAATGTAGTAATGAAAATGGCCAAAACAGATGAACACTTAGTCTGCCAACAATTTGTACAAAAACATCTAAATGAAATGAAAATTAAATATGATCAATTTATCAATGAATTAAGCCTACAATTGCAATCGTGTCCGGTAACATTAATGGAATTACAATCCAGCCTTGATCAGCATCTTAAAGAATTTGTTCAAATACAGCAAAAATATATAGCTACAAAAATGCAATTTCAACTGAAACGATATGAAGATATGATTACCGAAATTGAATTATTACAAACTTTGTCAAGTTTTCCACTTTCAAGTGATCAAGTAAATTGATATTTCTTATTAACCATTCTTTTTTACTTCTTTTTTTTTGTAGCAAAACAGGATCAACCAACTTGTACATTTTCAAGAAAAACAAGTACAATTCTACGAAGATCTTCTTAAATTAGAAGCTCGAGTATCCATTGACTTTTTACCACGAAGTTTTGATGAATTAGAGGACTTTGTTACATTTGATGATTATTTTCCTGTAGGTAAAGATACTGTAGTCATTGAATTTAAACAAAATAACTACAAAATTATACAAGAAGCCAAACGGATGTGGTTAAAGACATATATCAATGCCTATGAAAATGAAATAGAAAAATTCAAACATCAATATGAAGATGAATTATATCAATTTCAATTATTGAATTCACGTCACGGTGGTATCTATAGTACAACAACAACTATCGTGAATTCTTTTCTTGATTACATGAATCGTCGAACAAATCGATTAAAGGAAGAAATTGCTTATGAAAAAGTTCCTCTTTATCGAAAACATTTATTACGTGTTCAGCAACGCTTCAAATCAACTCAGAAAATGGTCACGGTAAAACCGACTGTCATTGTCGACCTCTTCTATCATCCATTTACTGCTGCTCAACTTGCATATCTTTCAAGAGGTCAGATTTGTTAACTGTTTTTTTTAAAATTAGTTCGTATGTATATACACTTGTTTTCTTTTTCTAGGACCCTCTTATATACGACCAAATCCAAGTGTGTTTTTTCCTGAAAAAACATTTAAAAAACGTATTGACCGAGAACTCAAAGATACAATGAAAAAACTTAAGCAATGTATGTCTAATGATTATGATCGATCAAAAATACCACTCAACTCACCCTTATATAAATCTTATGCTGATCAACTTCAATCCTGTTTAAATCAAGCTTATATGACTCCTACACCATTAATCGATCAAATACGTGCTCTACGAGAATTAAAAATGGTTCAGTCGATTCGAAAAAAATTAAAAAAATTTAAATTGATACTACGTGAAACCGATAAAAGTGGTGTATTACATATTGGTTCTGCCGCTGATTATGAACGAAAAGCAATTGAATATCGACGAACAACGGGTGCTTATGAACTATTAACGTCGAATCCATTCAATGATATCATCTGTACTGTTACACGTTTATTGAATCGATTACAATCCTTGAAACGAATACTGGAACGACATCGAGTGAAAATGATGCCCAATCGGAAGAAAACCGAATTAGCTTATATGTATTTTATTCCTAAACCACATAAGGTAATTCCATCTAAGACATCGTATTCGAAGTTCATTGTTGAATACTTATTCATATTTTTCTAGAAACGTACACCACTTCGACCAATATTGAATACAATACATGCTGCAACCAAACAAATTTCTCAATTCTTAGATCGTCTAATTCGACCTTTATTTGTTCGATTTGTACGTCAAACAACGTTTGTGGATGGGGCTGATCTTCTTAATCGACTTCAACATTATATTCAAAAAGGTTATTTAAAATCATCGACTCTTTTCATTACTTTTGATATTAATAATCTCTATACCATGTTACCACAAGAAGAATCTTTAAATGTACTTGCTGAATTTCTTCGTATACATAATTGTGAAAAAGTGAATGGACTTTCCATTGATACAATTATTGAATTAGCTCGTGTCGTACTTCAAGCAAATGCTTTTGTTTATAACAACAAGTTTTATCGACAAATTATTGGCGGTGCTATGGGTTCGGCCTTTACTTTAACATTAGCAAATATCTTCATGTGGAAATGGGAAAGACAAACTATTTTACCAAAATTAGCTTCACATGAATTATATGGCCGGTACGTATTTTCATTAGTACACACACCAATTTATTTATCTGTATTTTGTTTTTCACTCTAGATATATTGATGATGTTTTCTTTACCTGGAATGGATCTGAAGATAAAGTCGAAGAATTATTAGAAGCCGCAAATAATTTTCATCCAAATATTAAATTAGAATATAAGATTAGTAAAAGTGTTCCATTCCTTGATGTTCATATTCAACATAATCATGGTACTTTGGTATCATCACTCTATCATAAACCTTCGGCTGAACCCACTGTCGTATCATTTCTATCCGATCACCCACGACATGTCTTTCGAAATGTTATTCAAACGGCTCTCACTCGTGCTGCACGATATTCATCAACATTTGAGATATTTAATCATGAACGGCGTGCCATTCGTTTAATGTTCTTATATAATAGGTATATCATTGACTACATTTTCATTGACAATGTCACTAAAAGATCATCCATTTTTATTCTTTGTAGATATCCATCGAATTATATTAACCAACAATTTGAAAAATTCTTTGCTGATTATTTAAGTTCAACTTCTCCACCAATTTTACCTATGATTACCAATGAAAGTCAATTTTTGGCATTACGTCAAAAATTATTAAATGAACCCACAGCAAAACAAACACAACTAGCCATAAGTGCAGCTACTGTACAACTTACCCAGCGTACACAAAATGTTATACGACCAAATATAAACAATATGGAAGCAACCATTCAACGAAACAATGACAAGTTTAAAAAGAACTTCTTTATCCATATTACACATGAAGCTAGACTTAAAGGTTTAGCTCGTGAAATACATATGATACATGATAATCACTTTAAAAATACCGATAAGGCAGAAATAAGATTAGTTGTTGGCTTTCGAAATAATCCAAACATTGAATTTGAACTTTCACGTAAACGACCAGCGTCATCCTTATTGAAAGATCCATTAGCAAAGAGTAAGAGATCGCCCATTATTTTTCTTGCGATTCTATATCATGTGTTCTTTTTGCTTAGAACAAAAAACAAATGAAATTAATCGTGATGGCACGAATATCTAAAGAATATCGTATAGACATCAAAATGTTTTTTGTTTTCTCATTCTTTGTGTTGTAAATATATTGTATTGTATATTCACCGGTTTTTTTTCTGTTCACACTTGTATTGTATTTGGAAAAAAAAATTCTATGATAGATTTTCTTGTCATTTCAGATATCTAACTTTACTCAATTGAAATCGAAGATTACTACCAAAGTTTTAATAAAACTCTTCACAAACAACTATGAAAAACAAATACAATCAAAGTCAACAAACTCCCAATGGTCAACATAAGAAAAAGAACAGACGTCAACTTCGTATAAAAAAGAAAAAGGTCTCCAGCAAATTTGGTTTGCATGTAACAAATATGGAAACAAATGTATGCATTCAACATGATTTAACATCTGAAGGCTTGTCCAACAAAAACAAATCCTATGCTACGGATATGGAAACCAGTTCTGATCCAACCTATTTATTACCGGATTATTCAAAATTGTCGGATAGTCAATTTATACAAACATTATTAGCATCAACATCAACTATTATAAATCAAGATAACCTTATTGAAGTATTGAATCAGAAAAACATATTCATATTTATTCGTGCACTTACACAATTACTCAATCGATTAAATTATTCTAAATTACAACATGAACAATGGTCATACTATTATAATCTTGGCATGACCGAAGGTATTTGGAATGGTCGAGTATCTAAAAAAATGGCTGATGCGAATTCAATGTGTTATACTTATGGTCGATCCAAACATTTAATTAAACAACGTCTTGATAAACATAAACTTCAATATGAAAAAGCTCAACAGGCTCTTGATGAACATATGAAAAATACACCATCCATTATGGATATGAACAATATTATTAATATGATCCATAATTTAATCGAAAAAGATCAATATCAATTACGACTTCAACTTGAAAGTCGAAAAACAATGCTTCGACTGGACGCTGAAGAACATCAACTCATTGAAACCTTTTATGAACTAAAGCCAAGACAAACTGAAGTAAGCGCACTGACATTTTTTTCAATTCACAAAAAAAAACCCTTCCAATTCTAGATAAAATCAGCAAAGATTATATGGAAAGCTATACATGAACAACAAAACATAATCGATGAAATTGCTATATTTAAGAAATGGCTTGAAGTTCACGCACAAGCATCATCATATACACTTCAAGATGTTCAACTACCAAAAATAAATCATATCTTCATATCACTATGCTTTCAAGTTCCCACATCAACTGCCAAACATATCGCTGAACTAACAATAGCCAAAGCCGAACAAATAGTACAAAACCACAACAAAATAATAAACAATGAAAAAAATAAGTTACAATGTACAAGATCTCACCATAAAAATGTTCAACTACTCGATCAAATCATCAATATCATCAGCCAACGTGAACATAATATGAAACAACGTCGTGATCATGAACAATTAGGAAAAGTCGCAAACATATTCAACCAAACCACTCTTACACAGACGGGTATACAACTCAATATACAAAGTACCTCAACACAATAAACCTCCCGTCGTACACAAACCAGAATACTACATCCTATATAAAACTCTACGTAGATTATATGTATAATATGAAACAAAATATAGTAAATTGCCCCTTTTTAAACAAAAAACAGAGACAGGTGTTACTCTCAAAAAAAAACTATTTTTCTTTTTCTATGCCATGAATTATTCTCATGTAACATATCGAATCACATTGTCTTTCTTTTCTTGTTTCAGATTCATTATCTATACTTCTCATATAAAAGCAGAGGATAAATACCTTCATTCATCTCCAATGCCATATGAAATCAAAGACTCAACTAAAACAACTGCAATCTGATCAGTCTCATCTGACGATGAATTAGAAAGTGGAAGTCTGTATACAACTAATCTAAAATTAGGTTATCGTGGTAACTTATACACACCAATTACTATTTGGACGTGTATCTACTATTACTTAGTAGATTTTTAAGTGTCATGTTTTGGTTCAAAAATTCATTTGAATCATTTCAACTGATACTAAGGCCACTTGATAAGATTTAGAGTTAGTAACATCGAAATAATCTATACATAGGTTATCGTGGTAACTTATACACTTCAATATTTTAATAAATAACACGAAACGCGTCGGCGAAATTAACTCTGCATTATTTCATTATTTTAATTTTAACTCATTTATTTAGTATAATTCAATTGTTTGACTTGATTGGTTGCTGAAAAGCAAGAGTTGAGAATAGCAGATTGATTTGTATTTTGAGAAATATAAGTCGATCTGTTTTTCATTGATTTACCCACACCCACACCCACACCCTTTCTTCGATTAAGTTGAATTATTCTCCGAGTTTTTTGTATTTGATTTGAACTTCTGCTTTCGAATCAATCGTACAATTACTTGCCACTTGACAATAACTTAGTAACTTTTGAAAAACTTCAAGTTTCGTGGTAACTTCTCACACCCACACCCACACCCTCTTGATGAGATTAATGAGACGCATCGGGTCGATATTTTTCAGTATTTCACTTCTTTAATAGCTTGGAAAACAATCGTCTTGATAAATTCACATAACTTTATCGTATTTTAATTTAAAGTATTTATTGAAAATATTAAAGCGAGTATAAATGATGATGAAATGTAAAAGAAAAACTCTTAAAAGGCAAAAAGTATGATATACGCTACAGCAAAATAGAAAGAGGAAAAGCTGAACGACGCAATTAAGAACTAGGAGACTAGCTACTAATAAAACCTTCACCGTGGGTTAGTAATTTTATGTTATATGAAAATAATCTAAGATCAATTAGAGATTGTGTGCAATAGGATTTTCAAATGCGGGAAAGCCTTTTCATAAATACAAACGACACAAATGCTCTCAAAGATTAGTTTACATACATATAAAATGAAAATTTTATGATGAATAAGGAATTTTGCATGAATAATATAAAGAAATCGAAAAAGTGCATGTAATGTTCAAAGTCATTTGGCGAACGTCTGGTACACTTTTTAAGATTTTCACTGTATACAATCTATTCACGTTCCCTTGTAAACCCAATGATCAATGTTTAACATAATATCACAACATTGATTACATATCGAATGAATATCCAAAGCAACATTTATGTTCAAATTTGATACTTACTTTGAAGTAAACCTTTGCAAGTATTATGTGGTTGAAAATCATCCAGGAACTGAATGTTCTTAACAAGTATCCTGTTCAATACATATTCAATACTCAAAATTAAAACGAAAGCCTATCATCTAATTACCAATTGCATGCTACACGAACACCAGCAACAATCTATTCTGACATGTATACCATTAACCGTGAAGCAAAACTTCTATCATCATAATGAGGCAAAAAAAATCCCAGAAATGAATAAACCTAATAATAACTCTATTCAAGTATATCAATCACGTGCAAGCAATGGTTTTATGTTACTCAAATAGAATAGCACATATACTAGGCGACCATTTTTAATAAAGTATCTATTCGAAAGACTTCGTCGGAACAAAGCCTAGTGCATCATTTACTCATCGAGTACTGATTACTGCATGAGTGACCAGTTTCAATTAGGGCTTTGTTCAACTATATAACTCATCGCGAATACAATGTGAAAGTTCATCAGGTAGTGCTGGATCACAAAGCCGATGAATCATTCTAAGGATAGCTTTGTTCAAATAAACCGAACATTCTGAAGCGATGTACGTCTTTAGATCATGCTATCGAATATTACTTTGCAAGCGAATCATTCGAATCGTTAGCTTTTTGTGCATATATATGCTTATCATTGCATCAAAAATATAACGACACGTCCCATGATGAAGGTCAACACAAAAAAGATACATAGTAACTACAAGAAATCTATTCATTTTCGTGCATGTCTAAGCTAAAAATTACCTACAACCATCATGCTAGAGTATTACACTACAAGTGGATCATTCTAAGTAAGGCATTATTCAGCTGTTATACTTTCTAGCAATCGATAACAGTAGAACAGAAGATTGAACAGTCCATGGAAGATGAATTATCCTAAACAAGGTCGTATTCTGTTATTGTACTCTCTAGCAATCGATGACAGTAAAACAGAAGATTGAACAACGCATGATAGATGAATTATCCTAAAGAAAGTTGTATTCAATTATTTTGCTCTCTAGCAATCAATGACAGTAAAACAAAAGATTGAACAACGCATGATAGATGACTTATCTTAAGAAAAGTTGTATTCAATTATTTTGCTCTCTAGCAATCAATGACAGTAAAACAGAAGATTGAACAACGCATGATAGATGAATTATCTTAAGAAAAGTTGTATTCAATTATTTTGCTCTCTAGCAATCAATGACAGTAAAACAGAAGATTGAACAACGCATGGCAGATGAGTTATCGTAACCAAGGTCGTATTCAATTATTTTTCTCTCTAGCAATCGATGACAGTAAAACTGAAGATTGAACAACGCATGGCAGATGAGTTATCGCAACCAAGGTCGTATTCAATTATTTTGCTCTCTAGCAATCTATGACAGTAGAACAGAAGATTGAACAACGCATGGCAGATGAATTATCGTAATCAATGTCGTATTCAATTATTTTGCTCTCTAGCAGTCGATGACAGTAAAACAGAAGATTGAACAACGCATGGCAGATAAGTT